AGAGCATTTGTGGGGACCTGGCATAAAGAAAGGGTTTCAAGCATCTGTACTGAAAGGTTCACAACTACCTGTAACTCCAGCCCCAGGGAGATTCTACAACAAAACAAAAATTCCACACCAAAACAAACAAAAGAGGGGTTGCAGAATAGGGTATAATTTAGCTGGCAGTGTGTTTGCCTAGCATGTATGGATCCATAGGTCTAATCATTACACTACAAAAACCAGATAGACAAAAGAACCAGAAGTTCAAGGCCATCCTCAGCTACATAGAAAGTTCAAGGCTATCCTGTCTTAAAACAGACAACATCAAGATGAACAGCTATCAGGCAAGACTGTAAACAAGAAGTCTGTTCATTCCACAGGCAGGTGCATTGTCTGACCAGAGGTGGTTTCAGACGAGGACAGGAACTCATCAATAGCTGAACATCACACTCTGGAACCACAGGCTGCCCACAGCTGCGCCCAGCGCCTACTTGGCAGAGTCTGCAGTAGCCCACTGCTAGTTAGGGCCTGCCTGCTTCTTACAGGAGCCAGATGGTGAAAGAACTGAGGTCATGATGGGAACCACCCATCCTCTGCATCCTTCAAGAGTGATGCTGAGTCTTCCTTCCTGGATACAATAATGTTTGGGGGTTTTGTTTTGTTTAATTTTTATGGTGCTGGAGATCAACCAGCACCTGGTGCTAAACAGGAGCTCTGCCACTGACAAAGCCTCATCATGCAGCCCAAGCTGGCCTTGTACCTATGATCCTCTTGCCTTCATCCACACCTGGCTCACGACATGATTTTGTTTTTTTTTTGGTTTTTTGAGACAGGGTTTCTCTGTATTGTTTTGGAGACTGTCCTGGAACTAGCTCTGTAGACCAGGCTGGCCTCGAACTCACAGAGATCTGCCTGCCTCTGTCTCCCAAGTGCTGGGATTAAAGGCGTGCGCCACCAACGCCCGGCCTCACGACATGATTTTTGAAACTAAGTAGAGACTATCTGTATACATGGGTTCCTGATGTGAGGATCCAACCATCCTTGAAAACAGAGTTTGCATCTGTACCAGACACATAAACAGCCCTTTCCCTGGTCCTCATTCCCCCAAACAATAAAAGTATTTACAGAACTATTTACAGAACACTAATGTTGTACTAAAAATTATAAACCAGCTCACACCTTTAATTCCTGTACTCGGGAGGTAGAGGCAGGTGGATCTCTATGAGTTCAAGACCAGCCTTGTTTATAGAGTGAGTTTCAGGACAGTCAAAGCTACACACAGAAACCTTGTCTCGAAAAACCAAAAAAAAAAAAAAAAAAAAAAAAAAAGAATTATAAGCCATCTAGACATGATCTAAAGTCTACAGGAGGGTGTGTGTAGTTTATATGTAAACGCTACCCCATTTTACATAAGACTTAAAGGTTTGCAGATTTTAGCATCCAAGAGAGGTCCGGGAACCAGTCCCTGGTGGATACCCAGGGCTGATCAAATTCTTCACACAGGGGATAGCAGTTCAAATTCTTTTACTCTGATATCTCTTAGCCTGCATGCCAAGCAACCAAAGCAGGATTCTGCCTGTTTCAGGGAGGACCCCAGCCCGCTACCTGATGAGGTGACTTATTGGAAGGATGCTCAAGTTAGTTTATTATGTTGAATGGATACAGTGGGCTCATATGGTAGCACATTTGCGTGAAGCTCTGGATTAAATAAAAACCAAGCATGGTGGGACACCTGTAATTCTAACGCTTAGGAGATAGAGGCAACAAAACAAAACAGTAGTTCAGAGTCATCTTGGTTGTGAAGTGAATTCCAGTCTGGGCTATGAAAGACCCTATTCCCCCACCCACAAAAAGCACAAGTAAACCCATGGTTGGGTCCCTACAGAGAAGAGCAGAGAAGATAATGAAGACAACATGTTGCCATGACAACAGTACACACTATCAAAATTAGATTTTGTTCCTGATGGTCAGAAAAGGGAAGTTTGTATCCAGGGCCATAGGGACACCTCTGCCCACCAGTGCCAGGATTACAGGTATTACAGGTGTACACTCCAAGCCCAATTCAATATTGGCTTTATTTTAATGATGGTGACATAAAATTTATTTCAAAGATTTAAATTAAAATCTTGATAATTCTCAATAAAAAGTAATAAATGGAGTCTGGAAATATATAAAATAATTATATGCCATGACCAAATAACAACTATAGCAAGAAAGGAAAGTTGGTTTAACATTAAAAAAACAAAACAAAATAAAAACAGCTAGATGTGGTGACACACACCTTTAATCCCAGCACTTCATATAGGCAGAGGCAGGCAGACCTCTGAATTCAAGGTCAGCCTTGTCTATTGGTGCAAGCCAATAATCCTGGCTGAGGGGGAGAACACAGATCCAGGCCCTGCTGGAGCAAGAGTGAGTTTAAGGCCAACCTGGGAAACTTAGTGAGATCCTGTCAAATATGTAAGGTTAAAAAAAAAATGGCCTGGGGACACAGCTGAATGGTAAAACACCTGCTAAGGAGGTGGAAAGCCCTAAATTCAACCACCAGTGTCTCACATATACCAAAATTTTAGCCACCCAATGCTCTCAGCCCCAGGAAATCACAGAATGGTTTTGTTCTTACCGTCTATAGTATAATTTGCCTTTTCTGGCTGCTTCATCCTTATAGAATCAAACAATATGTGGCTTTGTGTATCTGACAGAACTCCAGCATCTTTTGCCTTGGTCCTATTTGTAGGACAATTGATGAAACCTGAATAAGATCTGTAAAATAGCCTGGTGGCATTCCTCTTTAATTTTTTTTAATTTATGTGCATTGGTCTTTTGCCTGCATGTATGTCTATATGAGGGTGTTGGATCCACCAGAACTGGAGTTACAGACAACTGTGATCTGCCATGTGGCTGCTGGGAATAAAACTCCGGTCCTCTAGAAGAGCAGCCAGTGCTCTTAACCACTGAGCCATCTCTACAGCCCAGCCTGGTGGCATCCTATCCATGACACTGAGTTGGTTTACAGGTTTGTATTCTGGTTACACAATATAATACTTTAATACTGGAGGAAGCTGGGGAATGGCATGTGGGAATTCCTACCTGCAGCTTTTTTTTTAGTCTAAAATGAGCCTCTTCTGTAGACCAGGCTGGCCTGAGACTCTCCATCCTCTTACCCAGGCTCCCAAGTGCAGAGATCCTGGGCATATATGCCACCTTTCACTTATAGTTAAGAGTCAAGGATCTGACTGTGCACTGCTGCTGATGTCCAGTGCAGAAACAATGACTTCTTTTCATACTTGTGGTCCGCTGGCCTTCCTACCTGTCAGAGGTCACTCAGGGACTAAGTATCCAGAAGATTCCCCAGGGCCATGTACAGGCTGAGTCAAGAAAGGCACATCTTTCAGGGTTCAGGGAGGATGCTGTTGGTGCCTGCAGGGCTGGTTCTTTGGTGGCAGGGAGGGGCAGGCCCAGTAGAGCCCTAGGCAGATTTGGAGCACAAGACAGAAGGATCAAAGGAGGTTGGGAGGGAGTCAGAGACTGAGACCCTTGTCTCTGCCCTGAACATCTGCCCACAGATTTCCTGAAAAGTTGCTGATGCCAGGCCTCTATTTCCTGTTGCCAGGGCAGAGAGAATGCATTTGAATGGGTGGACATGTGAGCCTTGGAGGAAACACCAGCTTGGCAGAGCAGAGCCTGCAGTGACACAAAACACAGACTTGCTTGCAGCTTGAACCCATGAGCAACCACACTCACAAGCAGACACACATAGATATGTTAGCTGGCTGATGGGCATGCAGACAGGCACACCATTCACATGGGCATTTAGGAGCACAGCCTGCCAGCACCGTGCCAATGCCTGAGCTGCAAACTTCAGGATATCCAGTTGGTACTGGAGGGGAGACAGAGAAGGAGGCTGCCATTAGGGCGGCTTCTGGGAGGGAGGGGTTGAAAGGTAAGTCAGGCATAAGGATCCAGCCCGTTTTGCGGTGGAATGCCTGTGTCCTGTCCATGCCTCTATCGCTGAGCACCAGCTCAGTGGAAAGCAGGGACCAGGAGAAGACCCATCTCTGTCCTTGAGAAGCCTGCAGAACCCCAGCTGGGAGTCATCAGGTTTGCTGGGCGCAATGATGAACAAGGTAGACAGAAAGGCTTCTGGATTCTGCCACTGCTGACCAGATTCACCTCAAGTCAACTTCATCAGAAAAGAGAAGTGACTGTTTTACAAGGCAAAACAGTCCAGGAGCCACACACCCAAGGAGCGGGCTCTGGGACGCCAAGGGCTCACCAAGATGAATCCTCAGCTTCCATACTCTGAGCTTCCTTTCCCCAAGTGCTAAAGAAGTTTCCAGATCTGGGTCTGTCTTTCTTCCGTCAGCCTTGGCACACATACCTACACCACAAGTTTGGCAGTGGAGGAATTGTCAGCTCTGTCTGGTATGTGAAGGACTGGGCTAAGGAAGGGAAGGACCAGTGCCTTGAGCCAATACCCTGGCCTAGAAGCAATGCTCTCCCGCAGCCCAAGCAAGGATGGAAGCTATGATTCATGAGCTTCTGAAGTTTGGAGGGTGGTGGGCCTCAGGATGCCTAGAGAGAGCACGGACAGGAGCAGGCCCGTTGTGGCTGTGGACACCTGGACAGCATCATGAAGCCAAAGGGAGTTGGGAAGGATGTTGTCAACACTTTACATTACAGAGTGGCTCTGGATGGGGTGCAGACACGAGCTATACACGTTAAACAACTGTAGGGGTGGGAGCGAGACACTGAACGCAGGATTAAGGAAGGTCTGAAACGCCAGTGGGAAGCCACCAAGGGAGCAGGGCTTGGGTGACATGGTAAGTGGAAGCACAAGGCTTGGGTGGGCCTGGAGAAGCAGCTTGAGTGCTGCCACCACAGGACTGAGCACAGAAGGGTCTAGAACAATGGAGGGAAGTTGTCAAGCTGCCCACAGCCCTGGTTTCTACCTTCCCAGCCTGGCCGGGCTTCCTGCCTCTGTGGATACAGTCAGGCCCCCACCCCTCCCCGCCTCTACTGAGAAGGGGTGGGGAGGGTGCTAGGCTCTTCCTCTCCTGGCCAGCAGCACACTGGCTGATAAGAACTCTGCAGCTAACTCTGCCCGTGGCTGGCACCATGAAGGACGACGTGGCTCTTCTGGCTACCGTCACCCTCTTGGGAGTTCTACTGCAAGGTGGGCTAGCTCCTGTCTGGGGGGGAGGTCTCTGTCCTGCTCTCTGTCCTTCAGGCTCTTGGGGTAGGGAATGGGGGTGCTGGCAGGCCTAGGCCCAGGCCCAGGTGAAAGACAGGACACTTCCAGCCTGGGGTCCTGGTGCCAAGGTCCAGGCTCTTCAAGAGTCTTGGCCTCAAAGGGCCTGAGACCCAGCTAAGGGGCTAATACTCCCCTGGAGTGGGGAAGAATCCCGGAAGGAGTGTCTACAGGGGAGCCATGGAAAATGTACATGGGCCAAGGTCTGGAGCAGTGCCCAGTCAAGGGGGATTGTGCACAAGCGAGGGACCAGCTGAAGGATGGCAAAGACGGCTGAGGAGCCTCCGAGGACAGCATATCAGATAGCTGCCTTGTGATGGGGCTGGTGTCTGCTTGGAGTTTGATTAATAGTGAGATAGTGATGGGCTTAGACTGGGAGAGCCCTTATTACAGGCACTTGGAGCAGGGTTATCTGCCAGAGTTAGGGCTGGGTTCGTGATGTCTAAACAGAGAAACTGAGACAAGAGTTTATGCCATTGTTTGGTGGCACTGAGACCCAGGTTTGAGTGACCCTGGCCTGAGGCAGGGTCCCTTCTGGCTGACTCTATAGGAGGGAAACCAGGGTCCCTTAGCCCACAGGACTTGTGCTTCCTATTCCTTGTGCCAATTCTTTCCTGGGACACTGGCTACTCAGGGACTAACAGACTAGACGTGCAGAACGGGAGGTGGATATTTGCCTATGCTTTGCAAGTCAAATAGTTAAGAGGTAAAGTCTCCTGTGGCTCCTCCCACCGGCAGGTAACCCCAGTCAACCCTCGGGCGGACAGATCCTCTCCATTGAACACCGCTGATGGGGCTGGTCGGAGGAGGGAGTTAGAAGGGGGTCGCTCTGGAGAGGCAGGGAGAAGGGGGGACAGGGTCTGCCTCAGGTATGCTGGACGCCACACCTGACTCCCACGTCCCCACGGCCGTAGCCTACTTCTCCCTGCAGGTGATCTCTGCGCGCAGGGCTTTCCACGTGTCGCCGCCACTCACTTCTGGACCTCCCGAGTTCGAGCGCGTCTTCCGAGCCCAGTGAGTGTGGCGGGTCCGGGCGGGTTCGGGTGTCAGCCCAGCCCGGCCGCGCGCTCACGCAGCCCGTGCAACGCAGGGTGAACTGCAGCGAGTACTTCCCGCTGTTCCTCGCCACGCTCTGGGTCGCCGGCATCTTCTTTCACGAAGGTGCGGGACAGTGCGGAGGCTCGCTGGGGGAGGGGGAGTCCCGGGTGGCGGGGGCGTGTTCACAGCGCCGCCTCGCCTTTCGCAGGCGCCGCAGCCCTGTGCGGATTGTTCTACCTGTTCGCGCGCCTCCGCTACTTCCAGGGATATGCACGCTCCGCGCAGCTCAGGTAACTCGGGCCGGACTTCCGGGAAAGCGCGGCAGGGGAGGGTCGCTCCGGGACTCGGTTCTACGGGTGGGAGGCAGTGATCCGAGGCAGGGGACTGGTGGAAAGAGATTGCCTTAGGGGGCGGCAGGTGGGCGGACCTAGCCCAAGGGGCGGAGCTGAGGCCTGGAAGCGGTCCTAGCATGGTGGGGGTGGAGTCTGGATATGTGGGGCGGGGCCTAGGGCTCGGGGCGGGTCCTTGACTCAGCTCCCACTGAGCTCTGCCCTTAGGCTGGCTCCTTTGTACGCAAGCGCGCGCGCGCTCTGGCTGCTGGTGGCGATGGCTGCGCTGGGCTTGTTAGTCCACTTCCTCCCCGACACGCTACGGGCAGCTCTTTTCAGACGGATCCAGGCGCTCCTGCAGATGGCCTGAGGCGAAGGACCTCCTTGTCAGCGCAACTGGAGAAGAGCTTAGAGCAAAATGCGGGGGTGCCCGCCCCCGGATCCCAGTTTCTAATTAAAGTTCCCACGACGGTCCCGCCTACATTCTCTGGGTGGGAGAAGGTTGCTTACCAAGGGCTGCAAACCCTGGAGGGCCCCAGCCGCCTACGGCTGCAACCAGGCTTTGGGAGGCGGCATGGGCCGGCTTGGATTTGAGCTTCTCTCGCTATACCCTCCTCTAGACGGCACCTTGCCTGCCTGCGCAGCTACCTCTGCCTTGACGTTATTTCCAGAAACAGCTACCCTTCACCCTTCTTTCTGTGTCTGGTGTCTCCTTCCTCTCAGGCTGAGCCTCGGCTGCCAGAATCTTGTGTGCATTGTCTTCCACACCCAGCCCGACTTCACTAGAACCAGCTGTTTGTGAGAACTGGTTCAAGTGAGAACGGGGTCCCTATTTTTGATCAGCACTAGATCTCCAACATCAGATGGGTGTAGGTGTTCAGGACACCCCTGCGGAGGCCCACAGAGCGGTGTGCACGACCAGGAATGTAGTCAGCGATATGTTCTCTCACGTGGACCTTAGGGTGCCTGAGGAGGGCCAGAACTGGGGAAGAGGCCCAACAATGTGTGCAAAGGCCCTGAGGTGGGTGGGGATGGCCCATGTATTTTATAGGAGACCCCAGTACGAGCCAGGTGTTGTGGTTCATGGCTGTAATCCCAGTACTTGGGAAGCTGCAGCACAAATTCAAGGCCAATTTGGGCTACAGTTCCAGGACAGCCTGACTGTCTCGACCACTCCACTCCCCCCAACTCCTGCCCCTGCCACACACACACACAAAGATCCTATCATATGATACCAGGGGAGGGGCAGGGAGGAAGACACTGAGGACCACCATGGGGGGCACAACAAAGAAGTTGGCCAACACCTCCCCCACTGAGGCACTCAGGAGCTCAGGTCTTCACAATAGTTGGGGTGGGTAATGTGATGCCAGCCCAAGATGACATGAGAACACTTTGGAAGGGGTTCCTATAGAATAGGTAGGCACACCTTTGGGTACATGAAACCCCCAGTTACTGACTCAGTGTCCAAGACCTTCCTGCTAAGTGGGAATGAGGTCATGTGGAGGTACACCAGACATGGTGAAAAGGGGGCTTGAGAGACTCAGTCCCTGGCCGGACAGAGGTCAAAGCCATCTTCACCAAGTAACCAGCCAGCATTGGATGAGAGTCTCCCAGCATTGGTGAGCAACCCCAATCTTCACCATCGCAAGTTTTGGGAACCCATGGGTATAGGCCAAATACAGACAGGCAGACATGCAAGTGCCTGGCCAGAACACGCACCTATGAGGCATACACTTCATTAACCCTTTATTACAAGTCACGCTCTTATAGAAGTATATGCGAACTTACGTGAAAAAATCAAATGTATCCAAGAATAAAAAACACAGCACATAAAGTAGTGTATGCATTCCAGTGTTCGCGCCGCACAGAGCGGGCGCCCAAGAAAAAGCTCTTCTAAAAAGGCCTGGCTTAAGCAGACCGGCCAGGGGCAAACGGTTCAGTACGGTTCTTTTTGGGCGGCAGCAGGCCGGCCCTCAGGCACAGTGTGGGGGCCGCCTGCCTCCTCCCGCGGCCCGGCGCAGCACCAGCTTCTGGGGCCTCCGGGCCAGCGGTGGACCCCAGGCCAGCCCGAGCCGCCTGCCAGGCAGAACCCTTCAGGTGGGGTGGATATGCCTGGTTCTCTGGGGGCGGCAGCAGCAGCAGCAGCAACACCCTTGGAACCGTGGGCTCCAAAGCCGGCCACGGAGCACCCTTGGAAGCCTTCCATTTAGTCGGCCTTTTTCAGAAAGATCTGCAAGAGTCAGGCTCAGAATAAGCAGATGCCCTGGGGCTTCTTATGGTCTAGCAGGCTGGACCCATCCCTGCACCTAGCCGATCTCACCTCACTCAAGATGACCCACACTGGGGAGTCAGTCTGGATGGAGAGGCGCAGTGCTTCCAGGGGCCCAAAGGCAGGGTCCACTTCCCCTTCGGCTACGCCCTTGTAGAAGGAGCCTGTGGGAGGCAGTACTTAGAGGTAAAAACAAAAGCCACACCCAAACGCCCAGCCCACACAGGCCCTGTCCTACTCACCGATCTGGAGGTAGCCATCAGGGCTCCTAGGATACCGTAGCGTGGCGGAGCGGCCCTCCTGAAGGGCCTCCTTCTCTGACTGGGGATTCTGTGGGCAAAGCAGCAGGGCTGGAGTGGCTGGCCAGGAGGAGGCGCCTCAGCTCTCACCCGTGCCCGTGCCCACCATACTCACGTCAAAGGGCAACACCTCCACAGAAGTGTTGAAGAGTTTATCCTCTGGGTGCTCAATGTTCCCACTGCGGAAGAAGAACCTACAGGCGCCAAGCAGGCTGGTGAGCTGTGGTAAAGGTGAGGTACTGCCCAGGCCCAGCAGAAACGCTATGCCTGGTGCCTCCAGGAGATAGGGGAGGTTGGGCACCATCTCCGACAGTCCGTGGCTATGCAAGGCAGCCAGGGTCTGTGGTGAGGGCTGTCACTGAGTACCTAAAGATCTGGCCGCCTTAGTCCTCACAAGGCAGTTAGTACTATTATGGGTAGTGCTTTTCAAGTAAGGAGACTGAGGGGGGTACATAATTCCCTCAAGGGGTCTAGAAGGGGTACCTAAAGACCCAGGCATTTATGCTGAGGCCTCTAACTGGTGTTCGAACTGCCCCGGAGTTCCCCAGGGAGCACTGACCGCTCAAGGCGCAGCGGCTGGAAGAAGCGGAAGCGGATGAAGTCTCCTGCCGCAGGTGTGAAGGCCCAGAAGAAATCCTCTCGCAAGTAGGCCTTCTCCAGGGTGAAATGCTGGTACGTCTTGAGGCTTGTGCTCACCTCCGCTGGGGGGTTCACATGTTCCTTCCGGAGAGCATGCTTTCCAAAATCTTTATCCTAGAGAGGAAGGGCAGACATCAGCGCCACCCTCCAGTCCTGCCTCTGCCATGCTCTGTGCAAACCCTGTGGCACACTCCACCTTCAGTTTCTGGATCTTGCCCGCCAGTGAGGAGTGAGTGCCCACATGCTGGAAGAGGGACGGCTTGAAGCGGATCCGAAGGTTGGCCTTCTGCCGGTCACAATGTTTCTGTGAACAGAGAGTAACACCTCAGTGTTCAGCTCAGCCCAGATCCCAAGGATGGGGCCTTTCCTTAGGATATCCAGGGGGTTTCCTCAGCTAGCAGCGTTCTCTCCTTGCCACCAAGACATGGCCAGGAACACAGTATGAGCTGGCAGCTCATCGATGGCCTGCCTTCTCTGTGCTGGTTCCAAACATCCACTGCTCACCGCATCTTTCTCAGGGTTGCAGACTTTCACCCACAGGATGTGGTCCAGGAGCCAGTCGATGGGCTTGTCTCGGTAGAACATAAGGATGAATTCCACAATCAGGCTCAGGTCCAATGACTTGAACATCTTCCCTGAGGGGGAAGTCAGGGGAAAGGGCTCTGAGTAGTAAGAACTGCTAAACCCACTTCTTATCCCTGTGGGGCCAATGTGGAGCATCTCACAGTGAACCTTGTGAGAGGACTCTGGGCAGGGCTGGGGACCCTGGGACACCCTCATACAACGGGCACTTCAGCAAGGCTCACTAGCAAGGCACTGGGGCTGAGAGATGGCAGATGGAGGGGCAGAGGTGGGACTGTCATCTGGCTAGCAGGACCAGCAGGACCAGCAGGACCAGCATGGGGGTGGCCTACCAATGAAGCCCAGCTGAGAGAACTCCAGGATCATCCAGTCCTCGGAGGGCTGCTGGAGGGCAAAGTTCTTCATAGTGCTCAAGTAGTTGGGCTTGGCTACAATGTCATCCTCCAGCTGCACAGGGAGCAATAGTGGGGCCAGGGACTCAGGACTGACACAGGGAAGAAGTGGGGTCCCTCACCCACGCGTGACCGTGTGCAGAGCAGGCAAGGGAAGGTCAAAAAGGACTGGGGAGGGCAGGAGAAAAGCTTCCGGCTGACCTGCACATAGTAGATGCCTTTGGACTGGGCATACATCATGAGGAAGCAGTAATCCAGGTTCTGTTTGGTCCTCCACCTGTGGGGCGGGGGAGGGGATTCAGAGCAGAGACGATGATGCCACCACAGAGAAGCCATTGAGGCAGGCAGGGCCCACCCCGCCCACTCCCCACCCCAACCACCAGACAGGGTCCAAAGAGGCATTGAAGTGGTCTAACACCAACAGACTGCTGGGGGTACCGAGCATAAGTACCTGACTCTCTCCTTGGGGTCCCCGAAGGACTCGCGAAGGCGGGAGAAGTCAGGGTAGAAGTGAGGGGAAGGGGAGATGACTTCCAGGAGCCCAGAATGGATCTCTGTGGGGAACCTGGGTGGGGGAGGCTCAGTGGGTGTGCAGCCTCCAGAGGCAGAAGAGGGCTGGGAGCTCCCCAGAACCTCCTTGCCTTAGGAAGCTCACTACAAACGTCCCTCCTCCACTAGGCTCCCAAGGCGCTGGGGTTCCAGAAAGACTGGGGCCCTCACAGGCTTTTAAGAGAGGAGGAAAGCCCCTCCCCACACAAGGCAGAGCTCCTCTTAAGGGTTCCCGGTTGCTGGTACTCACAAGGCCTTGATGTTCTCTGTCACTGCCGAGGTGTACTGTGGGTCAGTCTGTGGGAAGACACTTAGCTTAGCTACCACCCAAAATGGTCTAGAAGGGGAAGGGGAAGGAGTGTGGGCTTCAGATGTCCCCAGATAAAGGAGTGAGTGACTTCCTGTCCTGAGTGCCGAGAGAGATGGAGGGGCTGAGCCTGGCTGTGGTCACAGTTACCTCAGAAAACAGCCTTTTGAGATAACCCAGAAGTGTGGGAACGAAGGGACCTGATAACTAGTGTCCCCACAAGGGGGCGCAAAGGTTCATCTTTTTTTTAACTTTTTGTCTTGATCCATTAGTGAATGAAACTAATGACTGCAGTTCTGATTGTGTCCCTGTCACCCGCCCCCGCCGTGGTCTGCATTTCTCTTTTTGGTGGATTGTTACTGGGTGTCTTCCCCTCCGTGTTCCTGTGCCCAGGGCCACTCGCCTCGGCGATCAGCACCACGATGACTGAGTCTTCCTTCTCCTGCGGGCTCAGCTCCGAGATGAGCGAGTGCAATGTGTCAGTCAGGTACGAGTGCACCTCGCGCCTCACGCTTGGAATGCCCATCACCACGGACACTGCAGAGGCGCGGAGGGGTGACACTGGACAGGGCTCCGGGGACAGCCTTTCTGCCCGCCTCTCGCCCCTCCCGGGCCACACCCATACCTCCGGTGCGGCCCTGGCCCACCCGCACTG